GTTGTTCTTCTAGCCTCATTGCCATTTCTTCTTTATTTTTGGCCATGTGAACACTCGCCTGTTCACTTTGATCGGTACTAGAAGGCTGAGATGTTACGATGGCAGAGTTCTCGGGCTCTTTATTGACATCATCAGATATACCAGTAAGCCATCGATAGTCCAAAGGGATCATTACTCTAGTACGGGTACGAGTGTGTTGATAAACACCCTGTCCTTCAATAAGCGCTCCTCATAACCCTGAGGAAAATTCAGGGTCGAAGGATTCAGAAGAATCGGTTAAGGCTTTGCTTTGCCCCTACCAACCATGTTAATCATCACTTCAATTTAGCGATTCTTAGATACTTGCTTCTTGGGATGAAAGCATCCTCTTCTGGATGTTAAAATCGCCGATGGCTCAGACAATCATTCAAAACCCACAGATTTATGTGCCGATTCGCCACATGAGCACCAGGAAAGCACTATAGAGATAAGTTTCTCACGGCAGCAATGAGATTGCATTTGACTCATGTTACGTTTACATGTGAGGTAGTCACGGAGATCCATGGTGGAACTATCCCCAGTTGATTCTGGCAATTTAGTTTTACTCGAGCGAGACCCTCTAAATGATAGAGGTTGATAAGCTTGAGTAGCTGTACAAACTTCGACATTCATCTATTTATGACGAGGTTGGTTAGTTGAACGTGCTTGATACATTCGCCTTCTCGTTCGGCTATCCACTTGAGGTTCGTTCTTCTGACAAGCTTGAGTTTGGTTAGCTCGAACACCCTCTTGAGTTGGTCGAACTTCGCATTGAGAACGAGGTTCATTTTCTAAGCCTGTTTGGGTGCGGGGATGAGGTTCGTCATTTTTTTGACATTCCTCAGCCAATCGACCCTTAACAGAAATATTGGCCTTAGGTTGGTCTCCTTTTGGTCGATAATGGAAACCGTCCAACGAGACCAAGGCTCAAACCTTTCGGCGAGCTTGATTCTGTCGTCGACGTTATTGTGCACGTCTCAAAAGCGGATCAACAACAGATCTTGCCTCAGTCAAGATTGGGCAAGGTTCAACAACAGTAGCCAGAGTTTGGCTAGGTTGATCAATAGAAGTCGAAGTTCGGTTAGGTTGTTTGACAACCCACTTCTTAGCCTGGTGGCTAGTTTTCGGAGCCTCCTCTTTGGGAGGTAAATATTTCTCCTCGAGACTAACTCGAGTTGAATCATCAGAAGCCAAGTGGGCTAAAGTCTCATAAGAGACTCTATGACACTTTCGTGCCTTCGTGGGACTCGGAGTTCCAGAGGAGAGGAACTCCTCATACTTGGATTAGTCAAACTCGATGATAAGAGTTTCGACCTCGATTCCCACTGCAATCTGATCTGATTGCGCCACCACCAGTTCATCGGAAAGAACGACTTCTCCCATTCTGGTCACCATATTCTGTAGGGTTGAAAATGTATGATTGATTTCTGTTATTGAAGAATTGGGTTCGATCACTCGGTACGAATTCCTCACAATCGCTCTCTCTCAATTACAGAGGAAGAAAAGATAGATTTGACTTCTCTTTTATTTAAAGTGTGTTCTAGGTGGCGAGAGGATGCTTCACTCGATGCTCAAGCCGAGTTTACTTCCCATTGACAATCAGAACCAGATCACGAACGCTCCTATTGGTCGTTAGATGATTTCCTAAGTGGGATTTTTGCCAAAAGATTGAAAAAAGTCCTTTCTACATAGCTGCTTGTGGCTATTTATAGAGCTTTACCACGTAACTAACGTGCTACAATCGTGGAGTCATGGGCATAACCGACTCCTGAGATTTAGCCTACGTGGCTGACTGGATCTTCGTGGCCATTACAACCTGATTTAATATGGTTGACGAGCTTCGCTACGTTGACGAACCTCGTCCTCGATGTCGAGCCTCGATTAGTGGCGAGTCTCGTCTTTGATGCTGAGTCTCGTTGCGTGGAGAGCCTCGTCTTTGATGTCGAGTCTCGTTGCGTGGCGAGCCTTGTCTTTGATGTCGAGTCTCGCTACGTTGTGAGCCTCTTCTTTGATGTTGAGTCTCGCTGCATTGGCGAACCTCATCTTTGATGTCGAGTCTCGCTGCGTGACGAGCATCATCTTTTGATATCGAGCCTCGCTGCATGGCAAACATCGTCTCTAAAAATGGGTTTCAATGCTTTCGGGTGAACTTCTGGATAACGTTCGTCTTCACTTGCGAGGTTTGTTGTAACAGGGTGTGACTCTCGTCTTCCTTCTGGCATTTTTGGGTGTCTACACAAATGGAAATCTAGAAAAGCCATAATCGTTCTATGATAAGTCTACGGTGCTAAAAACTTTTCAAGTATTTTGGATTGCATTTTAATATAACTAGAGGCAATTTCTAGGAGATTCTTTCCTTATTGGATTGCATTTTGATGTATGCTACAGATCCCAAAAAAAAAAAACACTTATAATCTTGCTTGTTTAAGTAAAATATTGAAGAAGATTTGATGAGTAAATCTAGTTAAAAATTCTTATATTGTAGCACATGAAATTGTTGAGGAATATGGTATTGTATTCAATCTTTTTCTTTTCTAATTAGTCTATGCAAAAACTAGAGGAAATACACTTATTTTGAGGGACTTACAATTGATGAGTGTGTTTGTGGGTCCATTTTTTGATACAAATTTGCAATTTCTTATCAAATACAAGGAAACAAACATCCTCCAATGACAATCATTTAGTTGAAAGGCTTACTTCAAATTTCATTTATTATTTTTATTTATTTTTGATAATCCAATCCAAAATTAAACCCAAGACGAGTCATATTGCAACTGTTCTGGTCATCCTTGATGAATTCATTTTTTTTACTTTGATATTCTAAAGTACTTTGTACACTTTGATATCACAAAAATTAAATTCAATTACACTTTGATAACCTATTCAAAATTTGTAAGATTTCCTATCAAATTTTTATTATATTTAGGTCCATTTTAACCGTACACATTCAAAAAATCGAATATTTCCAATAGGATAAAAAGTATCATCGCACATTATATAACTTTAATAGAAAATCTAACAAAATCTAAAGGGTCATTCAAGTGAAATGAGATTAAAACGGTTGAGCATCAAAAAGAAAATCGCAATCTAGAGTATCAAAGTGAAAAATTAGTAAAAATGTTGGGCAGCAATGTGAAAATAAGTCCTGTAGAAAAGGAAATAAAAAACATATCTAAAATAAAAATATAATATACTTACCGTCGAATAATAATAATAATAATAATAATATTATTATTATTAATGTGAAGCAAAGGAAGACCACTCCAGCTCGGTCCCTATTTTCCCCTCTTCTCGTCTCGTCTCTGCCTGCGTCTCACACAGAAGAATACCAATTATAAAACCTTCATCTATTTAAAATCCCAAACAAAATCCCTTGGTTCCGTTAACGAGCCCTGCTTGATTCCTCGATCGCGATCGTTCTCGATTGCATCTTTGAGAGCGTCTCTTCCTTCTCCCTCTCCCTCTCCCTCCTGTTGCAATGGCCGATGACGAAGATTTCCCGTCATCGAGCGACGTCGAAGAGGAGGAAGACGAGGATTGCTATCTCGAGAGCGATCAAGACGATGATCTCGAGGAGACCGTCCTCCAAGGTTTGGAGGACGGAACCCTAGAGGATTGCCACTGGTCCGTGTCTTCGGTATGTCGTGCTCCAGATCCCTCTCCTCTTTTGAGTAGGGTTAGGGTTCCCTTGATGAAATTTGACATCTTTTGCTTGTTTTGAGTTCTTTTGGGGGATGGGTTTTGGAAATGATCGCAATTGGGTCTGTAATTTGCAAGTGATCGGACTTTGTTCTGTTTCTTACTTGTTTAAGGTTTTTTTTGAGGGATGGGTTTAAAAATGGTCGCAATTGGGAATCTTTGTTATTGTTCATTGACGTGCAATAATTAGAAGAAAGTTTTGGAAGAGTAACAATGCATGCATTTCTCAAGGACAAAAAAAAGAAACTTTCTTGATATCACTGTTGAAACTGTCAATAGGATGAAGGGATTTTCGTGGTGGTTGCAAAATATGAAGGATATGGAGAAGCCTTGGAGGAAAAAAAAGGGGTTTAAGTCCCTTAAATCTTTAATTTTTGAAAATAGCACTATCGAAAACCCAGAAAGAATTTTTTTGAACATCTTCTGCTGCAGTTTGTTTCTGATGTTTTATAGGGGGAGCACAGTATTAGGGTGTTAAGTTCTTCTTTTACTTGTTAAGATTATAAGGTTACTCTGATTCATAAATATGAGAAAATATAGAAATCTGGAATATGAAAGAAACATATTTGTGATGCCATTTGTTTTCGGCTGGATGTCTTGCAGGTTATTACAAAAGAATCCTTATTGGCGGCACAGGTCAGATCTTCTTTTTCTTATTTAAAACAATCTATGTTGGAAAAAAAAACTGCAAACTGGTTTGCTTTTAGTTAGATTGCCGTGAAAGAGAATTTTTTTTTTGATAATGCAGAAGGAAGATTTGAGAAAGGTAATGGATTTATTAGTTATAAGCGAACACCATGCAAGGACCCTACTAATTCACTATCGATGGGATGTCGAGAGGACTTTTGAGTTGCCCTGCAGGAGGCGTTGGCTAAACAACGCGAAGAAATTAGAGCTGAGTTCAAAACCGAAATGGAGTTGACCATGCAGTAGATGCGAGATCTGCAAGTTTAGCAACACCAACCGGAATCGAGCCAGAAGACGGAATCCAGCCGGCGTAATGAAGAGGATGAGACTATCTTTGACGATCCTCCTCCAGATAAAGACAACTCCGGAAGCGGTCCGACCAAGTCATCCACTCAACCTCCACAGATCTACTTGAAGAAAAGTGAGGAAGAGGATAAGAAGATGCATGATCTCGAGAGCAAGGTCAACGCTCTGATGACGGCTCAGGAAGTGAAGAAAACGGGCATTCCATACCCGTACCCGAGGGAGTGGGACCTGATTCCTTATCCCCAGAAATTTAATTTGATTAACTTTACTCCTTTTGATGGCAGGTTACCATCATTGAGAACAGAGGCATTGACTCATCGGTTTCTTCAACCACGTATACATGCAACATCTGTTTTGAAGATATTTCTTTTGATGCAGTCACAAAGATGGACTGTGGCCATTGCTATTGCAATGACTGTAAGTTCTTCTTTTAAGCACATATCCCAAACATTCCTTTTACTGAATGTTCTGCATTTTCATACTATAAATCAGTTATTTCTTTTGGTAAACGTTATATTTGACACTTTTCAAACTTTCTGCAAGTTATTAGCTGGAGTTTGTATTTTGGAAAAGATTTTTTTTACTACTAGTGCATTCTTGTATCTCTCTCAAATTGTTAGATTATATTTTCAACCTTGACAAGTAGGTTTCTCACTAGACAGGTAGGCCATTATTCTTAAAAGCCGGTAGAGTGGAAGGTTCCGTTTGGGTGCCTGATTTCTCTATCTTCGGTGACAGCACCACATATAATCTTAATTCCATGTGTGTTTGCGTGTGGCTTAACTTGCGTGTGGATCCGTGTGCATTTTTATTGATGTTTTTGCTGGGGTTTCATGTGGTTTCTTTTGCTTTTCAGCTATATGATACTGTATGGTTGTATGTTGGTCTTTTCTTTCTGCTCAGGTTGGACAGAGCACTTTATTATCAAAATCAATGACGGACAAAGTCGGCGCATACGGTGCATGGCCCCAAAGTGTAATGCCGTTTGCGATGAAGCAGTTGTAAGGAATCTAGTCAGTGCGAGGCATCCAAATATTGCAGATCGATTTGACCGTTTTCTACTCGAATCTTACATTGAAGACAATAATAAGGTTAAGTGGTGTCCAAGTGCACCACACTGTGGAAATGCAATACGTGTTAAAGGTGATATTTATTGTGAGGTAGAGTGCACATGTGGACTGCAGTTTTGTTTCGGTTGCTTGTCAGAAGCTCATTCACCTTGTTCTTGTATTATGTGGGAACTATGGAAGAAAAAATGCCGAGATGAATCAGAAACTGTGAATTGGATGACAGTTAACACCAAACCGTGCCCCAAGTGTCACAAACCTGTTGAGAAGAACGGTGGTTGCAATCTAGTTTCCTGTATCTGTGGGCAAGCATTTTGGTGAGTATTTCTATCATGACCTTATTTTCACGTGTAATTTTCTTCAGGTACTGCCACCAGATTGTGCTAGCTGCTTTAAGCGTACGCATGCATGATGCTTCTCAAAATCAAGTCACAATGCTTCTTAAAATCAACTTGATCAAATCTTTGATATTTGATGTGATAAAAGTGGTTATAGATCTTATATATTTCAACTTGATCAAATATTCTAATCTCCTTTGTGTTTATTATTTGGGCTTCAGCATTACTATGAAGTGTATGCTGTTTTCTTTTAGTAACAATACACAACTTAAAAGGAAAAAAAAAGAAAAGAAAAAAAAATTCTAGACGCTCTTTAGATTTCCATTATAACAATGGAATCATAGACCATAGACCAATGCAAAGGCTGTCAAATAGAAATTTCTTTCTTTACACCATTAATTGATAGATCTTTAGTGCTTTTGACTCTTGTAATCAAATTAATGTTTTCCTTTCAGTGTGCATTCTGATTTTTCTTTACATTTACATACTGAATTAACTGAGCAAAGGCCTTACATCTGAACATATATTTACTGATTGCAAATTTGTATTGTGCTCATGTTGTTGTCTTAACACTACAATATAGCAGAGAACGTTGATATGTAACCTTCTAAGTACTATATTACCCAGGTAATAGATTTCTTCAATAGTAGGAATTACAGGAGAAGGATCTTACATTTTTATGGTAGATTTTGCATCTCATTACTGGTTTTCACTAGGAATGCATTTCTTTGCTTTTTTTTTCTTACAACTTAATGATATAGTACTTGCCACTCACATATTGTACTCATTTCCCAATTTATTGAAAGAAATGCCTGGATTCCTAATTCTCAATGTAACTGATTATGTTTGCATTTTCTGGTTATTGCAATATATTGTGATCTAAGGAATGGCAACTAATTATATTTTGATGCTTTGTTTGGTTCGCTGGAATGGAATGCTCATTCCCACTTCTTGTTACCAAACACAAGTTACACAACACCTTTTTTAGAAGGTAGAATGCACATTCCCATTTCTCATTCATTCACACATTATGTGGGAATGAGCATTCCCTATGAGATAGTAGGGAATGGGCATTCCCAGTTAAAGTGCAATCAAAATTTTGAAACGATGTCTTGATTGCTTATTAATTACACAAACCAAAAATAAAATGTATTGTCATTCTCACTTCATTCTCTTATCTCATCCAAACGTGAGAATGTGAATGAGCATTCTATTCCACACGTATTCCATTCTATTTCTTATTTCATTCCATTCTTACTTGACTTGATTACCACGTACCAAACAAGGCGTGAGTGTATATCTAGGTTACTATTTAGGGAGTTGCTTTTCTTATATGATAATTTTCAACCACCTTTTGTCTTCATTATGTTAGCTCGCATGATTTGGGGAACATGTCCTTGGTGCTTTGGTGCTTTGGCTCCTTAGCTTGTGCATTGGAGTTGTTTATGCTTTAAATTGTTTGTATGTTTAAGTTGAGCAGAGTTTCTATAGCAAGTCAACTGATGCAGGGCAAGGTAGTTTCAAAATGTTGCAATTGAGATTAGTAAATTTTTTTTCCGGATTTTAATCTTGCGTTAGATAATATATTTATGATTGAATTTGCTGTGTATTTATGATAAAATTTGTTATTTAGTTAGGATTAAATTTGTTATTTTGTTAGGATATATTATTAATTCTGTCTATTAATAGGGTTTTATTTATTATTACGATTTTGTTTTATTTCTTTAAATATGATTGTATATTTCAATTTATTGAGGAGAGGAAGCTTATGACAACTTGTTTTGTTCATGTAGTTTGCACTATTAGACTGTTATTTACCGGGTGTGGGGGCCATCTTGTATTTTATTGAGCTAGTATGGTGTACATGCATTGCACGTGTTTCCATTTTCCTATTTATATGTAAAGATAATTTTATGTACCTAATGTATATTTTTATTATATATAGTATTTCAAATTAGTTTGATTTGCAATCGATAATTTATTAGATATCAAATCAATTTTCCCAGTCATAAGTTTATACATTCTATTTAGGGTAAATTCAACAAACGACTCCAAATAAACTTCCAAACTTTTAAAATATCACGAAACCTCCTTAAATTCTAGGGTTCTCAGGAAAACCCTTTCAACTTTTAACATTGTTAATAAAAATCTAAAAGCGTGAAATGCAATTTTCATTGGCAAAAATATCACCCTGCATAGATTTACCTACATGTGATAAATAACAAAGTCAGCATTAACGCCATTAAGAAGAGTTTTCTGAAAATTGTTGAAAGTTTAAGGGGACTTACTGAGGTCGCTAAAGATTACTAGGGTTTTATGACATTTTGCGAGTTAAGTGATATTGTCTAAGGCATGTTCAAATTTTAGGGTTTTTTTGAAAGGCTAAAAGCACTTAGGTACCTTATAATGTATTAAATTAAGGACAAATTTTTAAAAACAACTATTTCCAAAAATTAATTAGCAAAATCAACATTCTCCCATAAAAATGAGCAAAATTGACCTAAAAGGTCGATTTTGTCGTTGGCGTTCCCATACTCCGGCGCCCAGCTCTCCTGTTTGCGAACCTCATCCCTAGCCCCTTCGCCAGCTCCGACAGCAGCCTCATCCCCCTCTTGCAGTCACTGGAGCTGCGGCCGACAACGACGACCCCTTTGTCCCTGCTCCTCTCCACTGAGATCTCGTCTTCCGAAAGTTTTATCGATACCCTCCTCTTCGAAGCTGAGAACGAGCCGTAGTGCTTCAAGATCCCCTTCGTGGGCTCAAGGCCCTGGCGCTGACCACGGGGGCCATCGAGAACACTGCGGCGTTGAACGTCGCGATTCGAACCGGCCAAGTTTGAACTAGGTCAGTGTGGGAATTGGGCTTCGGTGAGCTCGGGTGCATGGGGTTGTTGAAGATGGTGATTTTGGTCTTGGGTTGCCGGTGCTTACGACAGCGGTACATGCGATGGAGGAGGTGGCGGTCGACGAGGGAGAACATTAGAGGGGTGACGATGGCATTGGAGTTTGGGGAGGATGAGGAGAAGAGTCTGACTAGTTTTTTTGGAGAGGAGGTGGTTGACTTTTCTTATTTTTATGGGAGATGGTCGATTTTGCTTAATAATAATATCTTAAAAGTGTTGTTTTCAAAAATTGTCCTTAAATTAACTTAGTTATTTATTAATTTATTTATTTAATTAATAGTAATTAACTTATTAATATAAAATAATTTTAGCCTCAAACTGATAAGCCACATAAAATAAGACAGGAGTTTCTTTTTGCTCCTTTAATTCAATGCATGTAATCTTGTGAGGAATCACACTACTTTTTGCTCCTTTAATCCAATGCATGATATCATGTAAGGAATCACCAAAAACCTCATAGTTAACAAAATCCTATAGAACATAGATTGAGACAAAAACAGAATGCAAAAATGGATAGAAACTATAATTATTATTTTTTAAATGAATCACATATATTCACATCATCTCCAAAAAAGGCAAAAAAAATTGAACACCTTAAAATCTCAGTGCAAAGCAATGTTGATCAAGAAAAGGACATGAAAATTATAAAGATTATAGAGAAAACAAGCTTGAGGATGCTGAAGCAGCGAGGAGAAAAGCAAGCTAGATTTGGTTCTTTTCTTCTATCTAAGTTTTAATTATGAATTGGAATGTTGATTGGTAGCACTGCCTGTCCCAAGCTAGTGCTGTGTTTATTAGCGGCATTGCCTGTCCTAAACCAGGATAAAGGAGGAGAGTTGTGTTAGGTAGCCGACAGCCAGCGTAAAACATAGTCGAATCCACATGAAAAATTAATCCTCGTTGGGGCGTCACCACCGCGACGCCTTGCATCGATGCCACTCCGATGCAATGATAAGTAAGCAATGGTGGTTTGCTAGGACGTTCCCCGAAAGCGATGCATTACATCGATGTCTCCCTGTTGTAATGACAAATAAGCAAGAGTGTTCTAAGAATCTACAATCCTCTAATAGGTTACCTCATAGTATTAGACATAGACTAGAACGGTCTAAGAGGCAAAAGGATAGGAGACTTGTACAAGAAAATAGAATTAGATTAGCTACTTGGAATATAGTTACACTTACTGGAAAAACTATGGAATTAGTGGATGTCATGCTTAGAAAAAAGATAAATATAATTATATATATATAAGGTAAGGTTACCTCATAGTATTAGACATAGACTAGAACGGTCTAAGAGGCAAAAGGATAGGAGACTTGTACAAGAAAATAGAATTAGATTAGCTACTTGGAATATAGTTACACTTATTGGAAAAACTATGGAATTAGTGGATGTCATGCTTAGAAAAAAGATAAATATAATTTGTTTATAAGAAACTAAATGGATAAGTGAAAAATCTAGAGAAATTGAGAAGGTCGGATATAAACTTTAGTACGTGAAAAGAGAAGAATAGGAATGACGTGAGATTTCTTGTAGATAATATAATAAAAGAAAGTGTTGTAGAGGTAAGAAGAGTTGAAGATAGAATAATACTAATAAAAGTTATCTTAGATGTAGAGGTTATTAATATTATTAGTACTTACGCACCACAAATAGGCTTGTCCGAGAGTACCAAAAAAGAATTTTGGGATAGATTAGATGAATTAGTACAAGAAATCCCATTTAGAGAGATTATTTATAAGAGGGCATCTGAATGAGCATGTTGGTAAGGATAATAATGGATATGAGAGGATACATGGAGGTTTCGGGTATGGAGATAAGAACGATATGGGTAAATGAATTTTAGAGTTTGTAATATCGTATGATTTGATAATAGCAAATACACTTTTTAGAAAAAGGGATGAACACTTAATAACCTTTAAATCGTATGATTTGATAATAGCAAATACACTTTTTAGAAAAAGGGATGAACACTTAATAACCTTTAAAAGTGGTTTTAATAATAGTCAAATAGACAGAAAAAGGGATGAACACTTAATAACCTTTAAAAGTGGTTTTAATAATAGTCAAATAGACTTTT